AATAACTGATGTAATAAAGCTATTAGAATGCAACATTAGGGTGTTTATTTGTGCTTGCTATGACAATCATCGGATTTGTCAGGGGCCGGTGCAAACAGTGCATATAACAGCAACCTAATAAAAATATGATGAAATTAGAAACAACCATTGCATACGATTGCAATATACTATCTTGTTATGATTCTATCTATTTATAATCTATATATTATCTTTACATGCCCTCACATTCGTTTTGTTTTTTAATACATTCACGCAACCACTCACGCATAACGTTTGCTTACTTGCTGTTGGTCGGAATCACGGTACATACCGTTAGTATACATACCGTTAGTAATACGTAAGACGTAGACATACACGCACGTATACACGCGGGTACACGCACGTACACGCGGGTACACGCACGTACACGCGGGTACTCGCACGTACATGCGGGTACACGCACGTACACGCGGGTACACGTACGTACACGCGGGTACACGCATGTGCACCCGGGTACACGCACGTGCACGCGGGTACACGCACGTGCACGCGGGTACACGCACTTACACGCGGGTACACGCACGTACCCCCTTCAATCACGGTACATTATCTTTTACCCTTATTTTATTATTTTTTCCCCAAACGGTATAACACAATCGGAAAACCCATTCGGCTCTTTCCGTCATTCCTAGAAAAGAGTTGAATGGTCTATTCTATTGAATTGAATTGCTATTCTGTTGAATGGTCCGAGGGAATCACGGTACATACCGTTAGTAATGCGTATGACGTAGACATACACGCACGTACACGCGGGTACACGTGGGTACACGCACGTACACGCGGATACACGCACGTACACGCGGGTACGCGCACGTACACGTTGCGACCCGGCCGGGAGTCGAACCCACGACTTTCCACATGCGAGGCGAGCACTGCAAGCTGTTAATAATTTCGTTAGTTTGCTCGTCATTTTGAATTGTTCGATTGCGGAATCACGAACGTCATTATTAATCATTACCCATAATAAAAATAATATGTAATCACGACAACAATCGCAGCGGAAATATACGTGAGAATTCTGCATGAATTCATTTTGACGCTAATGCTATGCTGCGAGATCCATTCATTGAAGATAGAGACTCGAACGTAAACATCATATGGAAGTGTTTTATCCCCAGCTATAAAGGAACGGGAAGTCACACCAATCTGCTTCCTTCCTTTCTTGGAAATCAGTGGTCCGCCGGAGTCACCCTGAAGAATGAAATCCAAAACACGTACGAGCAACGTCAACTAAAGAATATTCATTGCAACAAAGCAGAGAGAGAGAGAGAGAGAGAGAGAGAGAGAGAGAGAGAGAGAGAGAGAGAGAGAAAGAGAGAGAGAGAGAGAGAGAGAGAGAGAGGATAGGATTAGGGGTAGGGTTAGGGTTAGGGAAATAAGGCCATGTCTAGCACATTACGTGACCGTCCATCTACGCCCGGGGGAAAGTGACACCCATTTATATCGAATCGTGTACCGGGGAGAAATACACATTTTTCCGGAAATAGCCGAACGGTAGTAGGGCGGAACTTCGGGATCGCTCGGGTCCATAAATACACATGTGTACACATGTATACGCATTGTAGATTGGCTATTGAGGATTATTAAAAATAGCACATGACATATGCTAAATAAGCAAATACCCTGGTATGTAAAATGTGTATTTCTCCCTGGTGCAAAAATCATTTAGATCAGGGTATGTGTAAGTGGCGCCATCTAACGTAACGGAGCTGCGGTAAACAGCTCGTGAGAATAGCGCACTGGAAGTTGCAACATGTTTCATGAAACATGTTTGCAACAGCGTACAACTAGAATTCTGTGTGCTGCTCTATTATCGTATTTGATACTTGACATATAACTTTTAAATGTCGCTAAATGATATTATTGTTGATGTTTATACTGACGTACCAAAGAAAAAATGCTTCGTACGTATTTCAATTAAAAAGTACTCCGACGTAAGAGTGATTTATCAACTCATAATAAATGAAAATGTAAATAAGCTGTAACAGTCGTTAAACTAACAACCTATTTATGCGACTATCGACAGGACGCGATGCGATAGGACAGCATGCGTCTTCTCTGCTATACTGAAAGCAGACTATTATACAGATAATTATAAGCCAAATTAAGCCTTCCATCATATATAGTAGGTATCGGGCATTAGTCCGTATGTCTAGAATAGGAGAATAATACATAGAGCTATATAACACGCAGACAGTTAATTAACAACACAGCATTCTGATGCAATTAGGATGAAATGTATATAAACTGAGACTGATTAAATAATTGAGAAATTCTATGCAGAGATCGATATACAAATTTTTTTGTCAACATGATAGCAGTGACAAAAATTCAGGTTTTAATGCGAAACGCTAACGTGACATTCAACCGTGTAGGGCGTATAGATTCTGTATTCTATGTTATTACAGACGAGTTTAGGTTCGGGTAGAGGCAAGGCTAGAGCAAATATTTACGTAGTATAGCAGTTATTACATTACATATCCATTGCAATGAGAACGACAGATGTTTTACAGAAGGTTGGCAGTAGTATTGAATGCAGATGGCACGTAGTATGTGTGTTGTTCATGTTTGATGAAATCATATATGTAAATCATGTCACTCGGTATCAATTCAGTAATTAATTATTAATTTACTGTATGGTTTGAATGCTAGGGTAGAGGATGTAATGTGGGAAACTAATGGTGAACAAGTACACGCACGTACACGCGGGTACACGCACGTGCACTCGGGTACACGCACGTACACGCGGATACACGCCCGTACACGCGGGTACACGCACGTACACGCGGGTACACGCACGTGCACGCGGGTACACGCACGTACACGCGGGTACACGCACGTACATGCGGGTACACGTACGTACACGCGGGTACACGCATGTGCACGCGGGTACACGAACGTGCACGCGGGTACACGCACGTACACACGGGTACACGCACGTGCACGCGGGTACACGCGGGTACACGCACGTGCACGCGGGTACACGCACGTACACGCGGGTACACGCACGTACCCCTTCAATCACGGTACATTATCTTTTACACTTATTTTATTTTTTATAACACAATCGGGAAACCCATTCGGCTCTTTCCGTAATTCCTAGAAAAGAGTTGAATGGTCTATTCTGTTGAATTGAATTGCTATTCTGTTGAATGGTCCGAGGGAATCACGGTACATACCGTTAGTAATGCGTATGACGTAGTCATACACGCACGTACACGCGGGTACACGTGGGTACACGCACGTACACGCGGATACACGCACGTACACGCGGGTACACGCACGTACACGTTGCGACCCGACCGGGAGTCGAACCCACGACTTTCCACATGCAAGGCGAGCACTGCAAGCTGTTAATAATTTCGTTATTTTTTTCGTCATTTTGAATTGTTCGATTGCGGAATCACGAACGTCATTATTAATCATTACACATAATAATTATTACATGTAAGCAGGACAACAATCGCAGCCTGAATATACGTGAGAATTCTGCATGAATTCATTTTGACGCTAATGCTATGCTGCGAGATCCATTCATTTAAGGTAGAGACTCGAGTGTAAACGCCTGGACGCGCACACTCCCTGCCACAAGAAACCACACCAATTTGCTCTCCTTTCTTGGAAACCATTGGTCCGCCGGAGTCACCCTGAAGAATGAAATCCAAAACACGTACGAGTAACGTCAACTAAAGAATTCTTTGCAACAAGCAGGGAAAAATATTATGCAACACACGAAAATGCGAATAAAAAACAATTACAGCACATATCACACTATTAGTCATCGTGACAAAACCTATATTTTATATCCTGCTAAATTCATGAGAAGATGTACCTTGCAGGGACCTTTATCACCGACTGGGAGGTATCCCGCACACAGCATGTCGTCGGTAATAGCAGATGATCCATACCGGTCCGTGCACACTTCGTTAGTGATCACGGGTACTTGCACAGCCTGGAGGATTTTGGATACTGATCCACCTACAATAGAACGAAGTCATCAATTTCAGGTTGAATAAGAATGAACGCGGATTGGGGTAGCAAAGAGAATGTGGATGTACGTGCATGCGCGTGCGTGTGTGCGCGTACGTGCATGGGTGCGCCAGAGCGTGTATGGATGTACGTGTGTTCTCTCGCGTATGAGCGTACGTACGTGTGTTTTTGTCTTGGTCTAAAGGGTTACTTCTTTGTGAGCAATCATAACGCAAAACTTGATTGATTAATTGACACATCTCTTTTTAAAATGACTGTAGTTCCTATTAAACACATCTTTCTGCGACATGCAAGATTGAATACGTCTTCTCTGACTGCTCTGCATGACTGTATGACCATAGCATGTTATGCTTTCATTGTGAAAGATGCGTTCTTGCGATACGCTACCTTCTAGGACGCAACCCCAGCCAGAAACCATGGCGTCTTCTCCGGCGTAATTTCCGCTGTCTGTTTCTGCCAAATCTATGGGACTGGCTGTTTCAGAATATAAAATGGGGGAGCTCAGAATGATGGTAGCGATGTCGTTGCGAGGGTAGATACCAGCACTGTACTGATCGTGGACGTGAATCTCGCTCACCTATTTATATAATTTATATAAGTAATCCTATATTAGTACGCTCCCCGTTTTCAAATCAAAATACAAAGAATTTAGGATAGATATAATATAACGAACATTAAAAAATTAACGTTTGCTTATTGCATTATATATTACTGAGGGAAATAGCTCTCATTTGTCGTGGGTTATCATGTTAAGTTCTGAAGTAGACGTGCTGCTCACACAGAGCACTCTTTGTTCAGAGCAGGATTGCATCCGATTATATAACCATGGCAAATTCTGAACGAAATCACACGTCATCTGCAGCGATATAATTTACACTAGGTATCAGCGTATGTGCATTACTTACTTCTGCCGTCTTTCCATACTTTGTAATATCGGTGACACCATATTTGATAGAGACCTCACTGGATGGGTCCATAACTCTGCAATTAATCGTGTCAAACAATCAATAAAACGGCATGACACGATGACACATAGAGACTGTCATTGGTCCATACACGATTTTACCTAGTTATCAATTAATCCCCCCCTCTCTCTCTCTCTCTCTCTCTCTCTTCTCTCTCTCTATATATTATTATATGTAGTACGTAAGGTTAGTAGTACTAACCTTACGTTACCGTACGACGTCGACGACGCACACTACACACGACCACAACGAAACCTAACCAACCAACGTTACTCTCTTCC